TAGCAGGTGCAGCCAATAGTTTTTTTTCGTGCTCTTTTGTCTTTTGTCTTGTTTAAAATAAGCACAGATAGAAGCTAGTATTATAAGCATAATAGTACGTATATTTAGAAAGTGATCAAAAACCGCCATTATAGCAGAGTTTCAACAAAGCAGAATAGATCAGTTTTGTCATGGAAATGCAAAGTATCTCAGGTCAGTTTATTTACTGTGATGTAATATATAATACCAGTGACATAATCTTCCTGTTTCCTTACAGAGGGTAAGTACGCTTATAGAAATGCATGTAACAGCACATTTTTTCATTTTCTTTCTTTTAGGAGGAGGGTATTTATTCTTCCTGTTATTGTTAAAATATTAGACATGATCAGTTGTTCCTAGAAGCATTTTAGCATTAGACCAGTTGTCCCTTTAATCTATTAATGTTGATTATTTTTGATTTTGAACATCACCATTATTGTGGTCTGTTCTGATTATTATTTTTTAGGGTGCTTCCTCACACTGCTGGTTTTATACTGGAGGGGGGGGGGCAGTCCACCAGAATTATCAGGCTGCGTTCCTTATTCTGTTTCAGACCCCATCAGTGATGCGTTTTTATGATGCTGTATGTGCTCTGTTCCTAAATATGGTTTTTCATCTTATGTTGTTATTCTTGGAGTAATTGAACCTCCCATCCACTGGAGGCGCCAGTGCTGTTTCCATACAGCTGTCCGCTATTCCATAAAAATTCACATTTTGAAAATTGTAATTGACTGCATAATTAATATTGCTATATTGTTTGATATTCCATTACCACGCAGCTTATGGAATTTTCTGTCTTTTTGTAGCAGCTGTTTAAGTGTCATGTATGCCAAGTATCTGTGTCTTGTTAAGTACGGCATTAAAGCATAATTGAATAAATTTGAATGGAATTACATGAGGGAGGCAAATTGAAACTCAAAATAAATTGATACTGTTGAGAGAGAGAGAGAGAGAGAGAGACTAGATTAGTCTTTCCAGTGTACTTGTATTTTAAGACATTTCCTTTCACATGGGTTTCCATTCATTGTTTTTTTTTTTAGATATATTAATTCGAAAAGCACAGTATTTCTGTTTTGTATTCCGAATCTCTGTGGTGCTGTGCGGAACAACCTGGAACATCGCAGATTAATTAGAACTTCCACCACTTCTGAAATCCAAGTAGCTATTAATGAATAATGCTTTTGATTGGAGGATTTGGACATAATCCAGAGCTCATTACATCCACACTTGGGGTTTCCCAGATTTACAGATCTGCCGTGTTGTTTTGATGCTAAGATCAATTATTTGTATAGTATGTTTACATAATTGCTAATTAGTTTTACAAATCACTGTACAGTTCATATTCTTAAAATGTCTTTGCCTATCTAGTTATATGATAAGCCTTTTGCTAGTAAATGTGTCTTGTAAATTAAGTATTTTGAGTATATCTCACAAACAACTAGACATTTCTTTGATTTTGAGTGAATACCAGAACTGGGCACTAAATTATCAGTGAAATACTGGTAAAATGTAATGCTTTCTCTATGTGGCATGTACATGTATGTCTGTCTGTATTGTAATTAAGTAAAGCTAATTGTAACTACTGTATATCCTCACAAAAATTAGTTTCCTCTTGATTGCATATGGAGAGCCAGTGATTGTTCTTCTAATTTCTTTAATGTACTTAGAGAAGTTCAGCGAAAGGTGAATTAAAAATAAAATTGTTACATTCGTTACGGGGTCCTTTTGTGATGTTGCCTGGGCAATATGCCAGGTTGCTACAGAAACGGGTTGCATTAGTGCTTGTTTGCTGGGTTTTTGTAGAGATTGAATGCACAGTATTTTTATGATGATCATATTACATATAATGGTTTAGGGGCGGAGCTGACAACCAACAATAAGAAACATACGAGCTCCCAGCATCTGAAACTGGCGTTTGTTGATGTCTGTTAGGAAGGTTCACAGTGGGCGAAGGATATTACTCACATTCAGGGGGCAAACAGGGTTTTATCAGTAGTGACAGAAGTCCATCTGAGTGTGTTTAAGGAACCGCACCAGTGACTTTTCTGGGGCTGGTGCTCGCTGCTGTTAGCGTCCGCGCTACCCGGCCTGCCGGATGCCCGTTCACGCTTATTATTTTTAGTTTCCTGAATTGACGGCCGTCAACTGTGAAACAGTTTTTCATATCTGGGAAAAGTACGAATCTGTTCATAGAATTAGTTAATAATGCGCTAAGTAGTTTATTTTAAGCTAGTACTCATGCTGCTAGGCTCAGATAGTCGGGAAGCAACAAGAAAACATTGTGAATCTATGCTATTCTTGTTGCACATCTCTTCCCATTTTGCAGGGCCTCTTGGGACCTTCAGTATAAGGGGCAGGTTGTCCGGGACGTCATGTCTTTCCCCTTCGCTGACGATGGCCAGATGGGCAGCCGATCCACTGTATTTATAGGATTCACGTGCCGTGTGTTGGGCGCCATACCGGGGTAGCTGTCCCTGCTATCAGGGTTCCTCCCCATCCTGGGTCTGGCTTTGTGTACATACTGGCGTCCCGGGGCTCCTGGACTTCTCACCTTGCTAAAGAGAACAGCTCTTTCTTGAAGGCCCACTAACACAGAGTTTGGGTCGCAAGACCGTTTTCAGGTCATTGTGGAATGTGTGGTTTGAACAAAAAAAGTTTTATTGTGAATTCGGGTCGTGATATACTGACCCAAAGGAATAATGTGGGTTGAGAACCAATGCTCAAGCAGAAGGTGCTCCTCTAAGCCATACAATTCAGCTCTCCACCAAATGAGGATAGATGTTTTTAGATTTGATTTGAGACCTTTGAGGGAGCTTTTCTCATGTTAGGTTGATCTTTAATGATTACTGTGTGTCTTCCTTTCTAAGCGTCGTAGGGCAAATGGATCATGATGTTTTGATCTGTATAGATCAGAAGCCGATGCTGTACTCTTGGCACTCTCTGACTTCTTTGTAAGATTTAAGATGGCTCTCTCTGTCGCTGTTTCACCCTACAGAGCGCCCACTGTGCACCACGATGGCGGGGAGTGGCTCGCTGCCGTCCACCATGACGGGCATCAGCAAGGAGCTGGCGGACCTGCGGCACCTCATCCAGTTCCCCGAGGAGATCGCCGCCATACTGATGGAGCAGGAACAGCGGCTGTACCGCCGCGTCTTCCCCCTCGACTACCTCTGCTTCCTCACCCGGGACCTGGGCTCCCCTGAGTGCCCCAGGCGCCACCCAAACCTCAAGTCCTCGTTGTCCGCCCCGGTCGTGTCCGGCCGCACCAGCAGGGGAAACACCGTGGAAGACCTGGTCACGCGGTTCAATGAGGTGAGACGTGGCACCGCTGCGGGAAATCGCCCGAGGACACTCGAGATGGCAGCCGATGGAGAGGCAAATGGTTAATTTATCAGTATTGGTAGGGTTAGTGGAGAGCTTTACTGGTGTGGGACGTTGGGAGTCTTCATGGCGGGTTGGCACTGGGACTGGTCACACCACACCAACGAAGCTGGTGGTGAGATTCCGCCCCCTGGTCTGTATGTTCTCCACATAGTGTCTGAATGTGTGTGTGTGCCCTGTGGTGGACTGGCATCCCGTCCTGGGTGTCTTCTGCCTTATGCCCTGTGCTGCTTGTAAGCCTCTGGATGGATGGATGGATGGATGGATGGATGGATGGATGGATGGATGGATGATTTGACTAAATTTCCTCTCCAGCAGTTTTGCTACTTATTTTGCCAAATGTGCTAGCATACGTCTGGTGTCACCTTTCGATTTCTTTGACATGGGTCACATTATTTTCTGCTTATTACCTGGTGCTTGTTTGAGAAGCCAAAGATTTCTCTGGCCTCACATAGCTAACTTGACTCGCGTTACTCCTTTTGGCAGGCAGGACCATAGCGCTGTAGCCTGAGCGCTTTATTTGAAATGTTATTACTATATTATTCTTGTATTATTGATGCACGGAGGTTAATATCTCTCCAAAGGGCAATACGGCTGCCTTTGCCCACAGACGGTTTTTGGTTTTAGTCTGTGTCTTTATGTTGGTGCTCACCGCTAAGCAATAAGTGCTGTTATAGAGCCATATGTCCTGTTAGGGCCCCGACTGTCACAGTAAGTGCCAGGGATAAGATGGAAAACCGAGAAGTGCCCAGGATTGTCTTCCTGTCCCATTGTGTTCCACTTTTATCTTGTATAGTATGTTCTATGTGAAGTATATTGTCTGGTCAGTGTGTAAATGTATGCATGTGGTAGTGTATTGCTTAGTAAATGTGTAAGTGTAGCACCATGGGGTCAGGGAGATGATATTTCATCCCAAATGTATACAGTAACGTGCCGCATAACGACGTTTCGGTCAACAACGGATGATGTCCCATAAGATTTTAATGGAGCTGAAAAATTCCTATCACCTAGCAACATCGTAGATATCGTTACATTGTAGCACAATGCGTTACTCGCGTATTTGTGGTGATGCTGGTGTAAACAAACTACTGCTTTGCCAGTCGGCAAAAAGTAGAGCACAAACAATTAGTATACAATACTTGATAATGATACATAACAAATGATAAACTACTATGTTACTGATTGATGTATTTACTATACTGTAGATTTTATCAGTATTTAGGCCGGACCCTATTGCCTCGGTTTGTGTAAGTACTCATAAGACAATGACATCACCTAAAAACATATTTCTCAGAATGTATCCCGTCGTCAAGCGACTCATTACTGTACATGTACATTGATGGGCTGACAGTAAAGGTCTCTTGAATCTTGACAAAAACCTTCATCATTCAGAAGCCCAGACCGTGAGGTTCGAGGGCCGTGAACTGATTCTGAAGTCATGTTTAGCTTTCCGGCGCTGTCCAGTAAGACGGCTCTGTGTGGATATAAATATATTTTGTTATTTTCATGAGCAGCCTGGTGGTTGTTGAGACAGGAAGCCAGTTAGTCATCGGATTCATCTCATACTCGTGTTGAGAGGACAGCCAGGGACATTGATGGATATGACCGCTCAGCTTCTGTTTTATTTCTGACTTCTGAACAGGTTTGTCTGATGACAAGAGCTACCGGCCTTGGGAGAAAAAGCACTGTTCAGCCATGAGGAACTGACCTGAGAATGTGCCGTTCAGTGAGGGGTTTTTTTTTGTTTGTTTGTTTTTTTTCTTTTTTAGAGTTTCCCACACATTGTCCTGCAGCGCAACACTCAAAGGTTTGCTCTTTACAGGGGTCAGTCTGTGCAGCGAGCTGCTCTGTTGTACATTTGCTAAGTGCTTTGGGGCTGTATTCCCACAGCCCAAAGCACCCCACCAGCATCCCATATGGGCGATTTTAGGCTTTCAAGGTTTTCCACCAGCCTCTCAGTCACTATCGCACATCACTTCCTGTTTCTGAGCTTAGAACGCTTGTCATACTATACATTCCAGAACCGGTTTGACCCACGTTTAAGTTGTCGGATTTAAGTTGCCAGCTTACTGGCACGACCCTGTTTCCCGGGACCGTAAATAATGCAGATTAATGTGAGAGCAGAATGGCCATTAATAGGCCACAATAATAAACTGGTAGGATGTGGGGCTTCCGATCACGTCCCGGGCTCTTTCCCTTTTGTAGAATATGTCTTTGCTGTTCTGGATGCCTGCTTTGATGCTTTTGCTGTCCTGGGACTGAGGACAGAAGCCTCAGATCCTGCTAGAGGATTTTCTCACCAAATTGGATTACAGCAGACTCACTGATGTAATGCCAACAAAGCTAAGGTCTACGTTGCTTAATCAAGGTGTCATGTTGCAGATGCAGGTCCAGCTCCATGCATCTCCAGCTCCTATTTTTACCGTGGGCTCTCAAGGGGGTCATAGTGCTCCCCCAGGCCGGGATTTCACAGCACACGTTGTTAGCTGAACAAGAAGCTTGGGGTTCCTGAAAGTATTACTTAATCATTATTCTTTAAAAATTAGTATTTCATATTCTTGAAATGCTGGTCCGTAATCTGATTTCACACAGCGGCGGACAAACGCATTCCTGAAAGTTGAGATTTAAGTAAAGCCTTGTTTGAGTAATTTGTATTTCAATTTTTTCTGCTTTCATGGAGACCATCATGAAAATGCATTTCTTGGTTGTTGTTTTTTTTTGTATCTCTCTGGGGATTTTTGATTGTTCTTCACAGCAGTGTAATATGATATCTGGGAAATGTTTCTTTTTTGTTTTTTCTTTTTTCCCTGGCCTGACATTTCCAGAAAAGGCCAGATACAGTAGATGTGCACTCATCATTCAGGACTTACGGTCAGAACCTTGTCAGTGTTTATGTAATAGAATTGAGTAGCGTTTGAGACTCTACACAACAGTGGAAAACCAAGTGTTTCCACTCTGTCCTGCTATCTTCCTGGATAAAATGCTTGAAAAAAATGATTTTGTGTACAGTACTTTCATATTAATCTATGACCATTGAATATTGTTTTGGATTGCCTTGAAAAATACACAATATTTAGTTGTCTTTACTGTTATATTTGGAGAATAGAAATGTGTACATTTCTCTGCACATACAGTACCAGTCGAAAGTCTGGACAGATCTTCGGAAAAAGATTTGTTTTCCGACTAAATAATGACCCTAAGCGAACCTTGAGGTTATATAGCAAGTATTCTCTTGTCACCAAGGAACGAGATGGAATTCTGTGATGCAGTAAATGACCTGGTCCCCACAATCCCCGGCCTAAACCCTATAGAGTTGGCTTGGGATGAGTTGGATCGAAGAGTAAGAGCAGGTATCCAGCTTGTGCCCAGAACTTGTGGAAATTCCTTCAGGCCTGTTGTAGAAGCATTCCAGGTGGCTACATCTGGAAGATGGTTGATAGAATGCCAAAAGTCTGCAACGCTGTCATCGAAGCAAAAGGGGGCTTAAAGAGTCTAAACTTTGATCAGATCTTGAGATGTTGAACATTTCTCTCGGTCGTGGCAGTATTTGATATGCATTGCTTCATTGCTACGAGGAATTTTACTACAAGGCGAATAACATGGCTAAAATTGATACAAATGCATTAAAAGCAAACGATTCCCGATTTTTGACTGTCACTACGTATTGTTTTCAGCCTGTAAGTTGGACCGGCCAGTTAATATAAGGAAATTAAAAGGTCACACAGGTCAGGTAGCTGTGTCCGAATTTAACATAAACTTAAAGAGAAAAACATGCTATCATCTGGGAAGAAGCCCACTGATTGTAGTAGCTACACAGTTAGTTAAGGCTACGATTAGAGACCTTAATAAAAAGGTAAAAACAAACCTCTGAATATCTACCAAAACCACTGCCAATAACCGCAGCTTTGGATAACTGGCATCCAGTGAGGCTTGTGCCTAACAGAGTTGTAGAAATGAAGTATATATTGGCAGAGAACCCAATAGTGAGCCCCCCCACACTGGTGTCTTGAAGTTTATATTCTATCCCAGAATCCTTATTTGTGTTCACCCACATGTTTGTTACATATAAGTTGATGCAGGGGCGGAACCACAGGGCCACTGGCCCCAGCTGAAAGCTGATTGGCCCCGGAGAGCCTCCTCCCACGTCACTCAACTATTCTAAACAAATCATTAGCTAATAATAAGGTTGCCCCTTCTGTAGGAATTATAGCCGCTCTTATGCCCCCCACTTTAAAAATTGTGGAATCGCCCCTGTGTCTATGGAAAGGCTCCACTTTGCTCAGTTTCTGTATATATTTGTCAGGATTTAACATCTGTAAGTCTGCTAATGACTGACAATAGCAGGACTTTACCTTGAGAGAGACACCAGCAACAAGAATCACTCTCTGTCTCAAGTCTGACTTCGTGGTATATCTACCCAGTGGCATTTTTAGCGTAGCTTCCATCACTGGTAACTGGGTTTCTCCAGCACCAACTCGGTCCCGTAACCATAGCTGTTTTGAAGGCCTAAATTGTCACATGAGAAATCGGAGAATGCTGAACTCCCAACCTCTATTTCCCAAAAGGAGCTGAAACAATTGGGCTATTTTGGTTTGGTCTTAATTCGGTTGAGAAAAGTGTTTACTTCATATAATTGTGAAACGCACCCTATGGCAGTGACCACACAACACGTTATGAGTTTTTCCGCTGGCTTTCTCATAGAATCGCAGAATTCAGGCCGTTCCTTTTTTTTTTTTTTTTTTTTTTTTTTTTAATCGCTTAAAAAAAAATTCCGACCGTGAACCTGAGGTCTGTTCTCAGTTTTTGTTTGGATGGCCAAACTCAGTAGGAACTGTATTTCTCATAAACAAATGAAAGAAGACAATACTTAATGCTTTCGCTTAAATGAGAAAAGTTGTTTACGTGTGCAGTGTTTCACCCTTTAAGAAATGCAACGTTCATCTACTGTCCCCGGTTTTCCGTACTTCAGGTTAGCTCGTGGGTGACCTGGCTCATCCTGACTGCCGGCTCCATGGAAGAGAAGAGGGAGGTTTTCTCCTACCTGGTGCACGTGGCCAAGTGCTGCTGGAACATCGGCAACTACAACGCGGTGATGGAGTTCTTGGCTGGGCTCAGGTGAGGTATGGGTCAACTGTAGGGTTGCCATGAGGTGTTTGGGGAAGGCTTGTGTTACAGTGGCACTCTTTTTAGTGGTCTTAGTCGGACTGGGAACAGTAACATCTTGAGAGCATTCTTGGCTGGTCTCAGTTGAACTACAGTCATTTTGGGTTTTGGGGGGAGTCCTGGAAAGTTGCATAGAAGGTTGATAGTGAACCTCCAACTGAGTTGAAAAAACTCACAGTTCGGCCTTCTGCTCACACTCCTAACTTTTTGTCGTGGCCACAGGTCTCGTAAGGTCTTAAAGATGTGGCAGTTCATGGACCAGTCGGACATCGAAACCATGCGCAGCCTGAAAGACGCCATGGCTCAGCACGAGTCCTCGTCCGAGTACAAGAAGGTGGTGAACCGGGCCCTAAATATCCCCGGCTGCAAGGTGGTGCCCTTCTGCGGGGTCTTCCTGAAGGAGCTCAGTGATGCCCTCAACGGGACGGCGAGCCTCATCAGCCTGCGGCCTCACTCCGACTCCCAGGACGACTCCATCGAGGTAGGCCGTAGCATCCTACTCCTGATCGCTATGGCAACTTAAGTGTGGGCCCCTCCTGACCAGAGATTCTCGGAATCCCTTCAGTTCGTCACGGGATACGGCGGCCAGGATCGCTTCCTGCGTCGCGTCGGGAAGGACGGCCTGCAGAGCCCCGACAAGGAGTCGACCGTCAGCAACATCCTGCAGACCATCCGCAGCTGTAACCGGAGCCTGGAGTCGGAGGAGCCGGAGGAGAACATGCGCGATCGGCTCCCCGGCCTGAGGCACTCCCTCCGAGAGAGGGGCAGGAACCAGTAAGTGCCCAACACATGTAACCCTGCCCCTGGTCATTTACCCCCCTTCAGGAAAACCGTTCATATTAACACATATAGACCAACTGAGTTACCATATTATCATTACATGCTAGATGACAGCCATTTTTCATAATGAATATAATCTAATACATAAACCTGTAGTTCATGAGGCAACCTCAAAAAGCCTTTATATACTCGAAAAGTACAGTTTGGATCTATTATGAGGTTAAGCTGTTTAATAACCAAAAGCATCTTGGCGCAAGTTCAGTGGAGTTTAAATGTAGGGAGAATCAAATGAAGACAGGTTTTACCGTTAAACAGGTTGGTAAACCACGCCTTCTTGTGTCTGTAATGTAAGCCAGGTGTTCTCATATCTGAGAAGCTTGAGGAGTTTAAGGAGTGTGGTGCAGGTAATAGCTTCGACCTGGATTAGTAGGCATTGTCATCAGGCTGGTAGATATTCCACACATGAGTCTGAGAAAGAAACAGTAGTTTACCAAGGAGAAATCAGCTTGGTGTTAGAGATTCTGGCACACGACGGTGATGACTGGAATGGATACTGGGATGGTGCGTGACTTTGCAGGCTAAACCTCTGTGCCTGTGATCAGAAGGTTGCTGGTTCGAGCCTGGCCTCGGCAGAACAGTCACATGTCTGCGGGCCCTTGACCGAAGCCCCTGATTCCTGGGTGCCGCGCGGTGGCTGAGCCTTAGCTGTGACTCGCAAGCCTGCTCTCGCCTGTCTGTGTCTTTTGGAGAGCAAGATGGCGTAAAACAAAAGAGAATTTCCCCATGGGGATTAATAAAGTATCACTATAATTTACATATGCATAGCTAATGGCTGGAGTTTTATAGGCTTTGGCCACAATTAGATTGTAATTTTGCGTAATACGATGGAAATTATTATAAGAGCCGTCCAATTTGGTCCAAATTGGTCAATTCCTGGGGGGCAATTAGCATGAATCTGGTCTATAATGATATTATTTAATGGTGTCCAAATGTACAGACATGAATTCTGTATTTTCTTTTGCCAGTTTCTTAGCCCGTGTAACATTTTTGTTTCGCCACCACTTGACAAAGCTCAAAAACGCATCGTGAAATAGTTTTAGAAAAATTGTGTCTTTGGTGCTGAGTAAGCAAAGAATTTGGAGCACTGAAGCCTTTTGATCATGACGTTGAACTGCTGCTCTTTTGTTTGCTTGTTTTTTTTTTCTTAATGTGATTAGTTTAATTCGTTTAACTCCACTTCGGAACGAGATGTCGCAGGTGCACTAGTTTTCTGCTGTTTCCTGGCGCCCGCCTCTTAGTATCCTAGCAACGGCTCGCATTCGCCAAAGTGATTTTTTTCCCCCTTTCTGTTTGAAATTCACTCCTAAAACATTACCTAATTTGGCTTATTACAGAAAATTGACTTATGAAAAGGAAAACAGGATGAAGGGCATATTAGATTTCATGAATCGGCAAACACATTTCATGATCAGTACCGCGCAGCCGTGCATTTCTTCTAAATTGCTTTTTGTGCGACAGTGATGTTTTCACTCAGTTAAGCGAGGCTGACAGTGGAGGGGGGAATTCTGGGAGCCAGTCGGCTTTCAGCTGGGGTCAGTGCCCCTGTAGAGGCCCCCCCTAGCTGTGCTCTGTCAAGCCTCCCTCTCTTCTTTAAGTTATGCCTTGAGTTTGCTCGCTTCCGGCGAAGTCAGCGCAGTGGACGAGTCATCCCCAAAGTACGCTGCCTTTCCGCCGGCCTGCCGAGCCCAACCCACCGCTGCCTGCCTCTGACCTTTGACCTCTCCTCTCTCCCGCTTCTCCATCCTAGTTCACTGCCTGTCAGGGACACGTCCGAGTCAAACCGTGTCTTGTAAGTTTGCCTTCCTGGCTTTTTCCTTTTTCCCTCGTCGCTTCTGTTCGTGACGTTTGCACGCTGCCTTTTTATGCCTGTTTGAAATTTCGCGGGAGTTCGAGTTCAGCCCCTAGTAGATTACCTGCAGTTTCTGGGGTAGTTTCTGATTGTTGGGGTAGTTTACGGCCGGACCAAAGACGTCCCTCTGGACAGCCAGGGAGAACACTGGTGCCAGTACCGCTTGCTAGACACGGGAAAGAACCTGGGAGATGTTTCCTGATCCGTGATCTTCTTGACCAGCAGGTTTGTTTTGGGAGACCTCTCCGACTCTGAGGGTGATCTGTCGGAGCAGGGGAAGGAAGGGGACTTCCAGGGTGTCGAGGAGACGCCCAAAGCTTTCGGCCACGGTACGGAGCTCATCCCCTGGTACGTGCTCTCCATCCAGGCCGACGTCCACCAGTTCCTCTTGCAGGGGGCCACGGTCATCCACTACGACCAGGAGTCCCACCTGACCGCCCGCTGTTTCCTGAGGCTCCAGCCGGACAATTGCTCCCTGACCTGGACCAAGTTACAGGGTAGCTGTCCTTCCAACGGAAAAGCAAAGAACGTGACAGTAGGGGGCGGTGTTGAGCCCGGCCACAGCAAAGCCCAGTACAGCGGACATGTGGTGCTGAATGGGCTGGCAGATGGACTTCTGGACCTTTCTGTCGTGAAGGCGGTGTTCATGGGCCACGCGGGGGTGGACATCCACGGCGTGTGCACGCAGAACAAGCTGTGCAACATGAACCTGGCCGAGAATGCGGTCACCTTGCTCTACGGGCTCCACACCACCGACAACAAGCTGCTGCACTTCGTCGCCCCCGGTTACACAGTGCGCATGCTGTACGAGGGGCTGCGCGAGCTGGCCAGCGCCGCACGCAAGATCAGGAGATTTCCTGACCAGAGGCTGCAGTGGCTGCGGAGGCAGTACATCAACCTGTACCAGGTACGCTGTCAGTGGCATTATTCACTATGAACAGCAGGGGGCATTTGTCCTGTTGGGACAATTTCAAAATTTACAGATAGCATCCTGGGCTAGCTAATCATGGGGCTGTTATCTGAGAGATGATGGATGGATGGATGGATGGATGGATGGATGGATGGACAGATGGATTATAAGATAGATAGACAGAAAGCTAGTTAGCTTGCTGTTAAGTGACCTGTTATGACAGCTGTATCATTGTTGTATAACGTCTGACCCCCCTCCCCCCTCATGAGCCCTGCTTTAGTGTGTATCAAAATCAGGTGTAATGGGCCCCTTGTGATTGGTCCTCCAGGAGGACGGCAGATACGACGGCCCCACTTTGGCCCAGGCTATCGAGCTGTTCGGAGGCCGGCGCTGGCCCGTGGACCTCAGTACCGGCACCATCCCCGGCAAGGGCAGCCCCATGGCTACCAGCGGCACCAAGAAGAAGAAGAAGGTCCTCATAAGGGTGAGCATCTGCAGCTCCTCAAGTCGAACCGCACCTTTCTCTTGCATCTCACGTGCGCGTGGCCTCGTCTGACGCCTGCACTCTCTCGCGCCGGCACCTCCCAGGGCGACAGCGGGGACGCCACGGACGACGAGACCATCTCACGCAAGACGAGGGTCAAGGAGACATTGGGCCGGACCGGATCTGACCCATCGGACTGTGTGGATCAGGACGACCCAGGTGGGTCTCCCTGCCATTCCTGCACTCCTCTGTATCACCGAGGCACCATGGCCGCCGGTCTAACACCATTGGCTTTTCCCCGCAGAGGATGGCTCTGCCTTTGGCTTCCCGGGCCCCTTCTCCCTGGCACCTGGTAAAGCCCCTCCCCTCAGTGGCTCCTCCACTCTCCCTGCCCGGCCTCACACCTCCCCCGTCCTGTCCTCCAATGCCAAGGGCCAGGTGGGGTAAGTCGCCGATCCGGAGATTCCTGCCTATGCTTGATCAGGCGTGTATTGTGGGTGTTTCAAGATGGCAGGTAGCTACACGTCCCAGATGGCTGAATTCTACCCAACGTCTTAAAAATCCTCCCTTGCCCATCTTGAACCGTTAGTGACCTAGAAACCAAAAACATAATGAATCTTTAAATGTGTCACTGGACGTCACGTTTGGTCGATTCTGAGGCTCACGCTGGAAACTCCCTCGTTTTCTCTCTCGCTGACCTGACCGGCGGCCCGTGGACGATGTTTCACGCTACGTCGTTGCAGAAGCAGGACCAGCCAGAGCTGGCACGGCCGGGGGCGGGCACCCCTGAAGGGCTTTCAGAGCCTCACGCTCTCCGACAGCGTGATGACCTTCACCGAGTTTGTGGAGCTCTTCAAGTCCTTCAGGTAATAATGTCCATGCACGTGCCAGAAGGTTCTGGATTGAGGTCACCTGTGTGTAGGGGGAGACTCATCATCGCTCTTTCTGCAGCATTAGAAGCAGGAAGGATCTGAAGGATCTGTTCGACACCTACGCCGTGCCCTGCAGTCGCTCCACACCGGGCCAGACCCCACTTTTCACCAACCTGAGGATAGACGATAAAATCACTGGCATGCAACCTGACCTCGGTGCGTCGTCGTTGTTTTTTTCCAACCCTTGTCAATAATATTTAGATGGACCTCATTGAGGATGATAGATACCTACTGTACTCATTTGTGCAATACCAGAAAGTTCTTCACATGACATTATTTCTTGGAGACAATGTTGGGGTTCTTGAGGTTGGGGGTTGTAGAAAGTGATGTTTTAGAGTGCTTCCCCTTTAAGGAGATCTTCATTGGTGGATTGTGTTTTTGTTGACGTACCTCCTACCGTGTTCTCGTTAGACCACTGCTCTTTTGACGTATTTTCCTTCACAGACCTTGTGATGTTCTGCTCGCTTTTTTGAAAGCAGACCTCCTGACGCGCAACGGCTCCGACCTGGGCCTCTTCATCCACACCCGGCAGCAGATGTCAGACAACCAGAAGCAGATCTCTGATGCCATTGCGGCAGCCAGCATCGTCAACAATGGCACCGGAGTGGAGAGCGCCTCATTGGGTGTGCTGGGACTGACCATCCTGCAGCTCAACGACTTCCTGGTCAACTGCCAGAGGGAGCACCTGACCTACGACGAGATCCTGAGCATCATCCAGGTGGGGAGGAGCACACGGCGCCCTCAGGAGGCCAAGAAAAACAAGAGAGAAAAACCTGAGTTGTCAGAAATACACATCCATGCTCTGATCTTCATTTACAGTGTGAATTGAAGAACACATCTGAAAATAAAAATGCATTCGGATTCTGTTTGTTTCTCAATCACCAAATGTTGCTTGAAAACCTTGGTCAGATGAATGCCGTGTCACATTTTAATGTCTTTTTCTTTTCATTTTTAGAAGTTTGAGCCCTCTGTAAGCATGCGCCAGATGGGCTGGATGTCTTTTGAGGGTTTTGCCAGGTAAGTTCATATTGGCTCATGCCTTTTATCGTGAATGTTTCCATTTAACTTTCAGATAAAGGAAACCTTTCCTTAATTGTGTACAATCACTGCACTTTAAATTCAGTCACTATGTATTGATTCTGGGCTTTAGGTTTCTGATGGACAAGGACAACTTTGCCTCTACGATTGAGGAGTCCCAGGTGACCCTGGAAGATCTTCAATACCCTCTGTCTTACTATTACATCGAATCGTCACACAACACGTATCTCACCGGCCACCAGCTCAAAGGAGAATCCTCTGTGGAGCTCTATAGTCAGGTGAGATAGGCTCTTCAGTCCCGACTCTGCTATCGGTCATCTTCTGTGGTCTGGCAGCTTTGGGGAACACCTTTTGGTCCCTGGAATCCTTCGCTCCTCAAACACACAGTGACTTTCAGAAGGTCACTATGCCTGGCTCGCATTTCTAGGTATTTTGGAGGTCCACTTGCATCCGCATCAGGAAAGCACTGATGAGGATCTCTGCAGTTACTCGTCGGAAGATATTGATGAACCTCCTTCCCCCGCCTGCAAACCCCTCCTTCCCCCAGGTGCTGCTGCAGGGCTGCCGGAGCGTGGAGCTGGACTGCTGGGACGGTGATGATGGGAAGCCTGTCATATACCACGGCCACACGCTCACTACCAAGATCCCCTTCAAGGTTGGGGCTCAAGACCCATGACCCTCTTCTCTCTCATGTCATAAGGGAAACAAGAATATAATACAAGATTAAGGAGTGCTGCCTTTTATTTTTAGTATTTTTTGTATTTAGCATTTATTTTTAGATTTCACTGCAACTTCAGTTCCTTTTTTATGCTCCCAGGATGTGGTGGAGGCAGTGAATCGTACAGCTTTCATTAAATCAGACATGCCTGTCATCATCTCCATTGAGAACCACTGCTCCTTACCCCAGCAACGCAAAATGGCAGAGATCTTTAAGGTACCTCCGTCTAGTCAAAGTCCTTGGTGTTTTCTAGAGGAACATGGTGAACTCCTTGTCCTTTCCTGGAATTTTAATCTCTGTAGATGTTGTGTCTCCCTATGTACTCGTGCAGACTTCCGGGATGGTTTTCCGAAGTGTCATCTTCTGGATTTTTGTTTTCATTGTTCCCCACAGAACGTGTTCGGGGACAAGCTGGTGACGAAGTTCCTCTTCGACAGCGACTTCTCCGATGACCCCCTGCTCCCTTCGCCCGTGCAGCTCAGGGGCAAGATCCTGCTGAAGAACAAGAAGCTGAAAGCCCACCAGGCCCCCGTGGACATCCTCAAGCAGAAGGTGAGCCACCCCGCTGGGGACGATGGCACTGGGGGTGTGGCCGTTCCGGTTTTGGACTCGGTGCTTTCGGGAGTGACCTGCTGTTGTAGCCGTGGGCAAAATACAGAAAATCCACCTCTGTTAATACCTGCAATTTAATGGTAAATGGACTGCATTTACATAGTGCTTTTCTACTCCTACGAGTACTCAAAGCGCTTTACAATTTATGCCTCACATTCACCCATCCACACTCACATTCACACACCGGTGGTGGAGGCTGCCATGCAAGGTGCCAACCAGCTCACCGGGAGCAATTTGGGGTTCAGTGTCTTGCTCAAGGACACTTCGATGGGGTCAGGAGGAACCAGGGCTCGAACCTGCAACCCTCTGGTTGCCGAACGATAGCACTACCTCCCGCGCCACCATCTTCCCCAATATAATATTATAAGCAGGAAATTTTCATAAAATGGGAATAATAATAGATGGAGGAATATAGGCTGGTCTCCTCTGACTGTTACCCGCCCCCCCCGCCCCCCCCCCTCGCAGGCCCACCAGCTGGCTCACATGCAGGCCCAAGCCAGTAACGGTACGCCAGCCCCCAGCCCCCCCGCCACCAACGAGGAAGAGGAGGAGGAGGAAGACGAGTACGACTATGACTACGAGTCCCTGTCCGATGGTAGGAATAGCAGCGTTTCTGTATTCAGGGTAGTTTCTGTGGCACACACCTGTAGCATACACACCGACACAGGGCAGGAACCCAGCCTGCAGCCCCATGCAGCACATGCTATCCACGCTGCAAACGCACACAGTCCTACAGATTGTCATTCTGGTGTCGCACAGCAGTGTTTCAGATGCCAGTGCTATTACGCCCTTTCAGCCTCACTGTTTGGCCTCGTCCTCTGAGTACTCATTAGTCATTTCCTCCCTGAAATCTGAAGACCCGTCTCTGTATGTCCTCTTTCTCCCTCTTGCTGCCTAACCGCCACTCTCTAGCCGACGTCCTAACTGCTTCCACCACTTCTTACAGCCTAGAAGGTAACATCCCCCCCCCCCCTTCCACGCCGAGCACCGGCCGTGGTCTCTTGGCTTGTGGTTTGAACGCAAATACCGTGTGACCGGTCTGTTCCTGTTGCTCCAGTGTGTGTGTGTGTGTGTGTGTGTGTGTGTGTGTGTGTGTGTGCTGCATGGCCATGGTCCCGTGCCCCTCAGGCAGGTATAAGAACAACCCGATCTCACGAATTTTCGTGCAGCCATCACGACTTAAAATCTATTTAAACGTGCTGTGATCACGTTTTCGGCTTTTTTACGTGCTGGGGTAACGTTTCCCCTCCCTATGTGTTTTAATGGGCAGTGCCTAACACCGCCACTATGAGCGCTAACTGGTGACTAAGGGACGGGAAAGTCATGCATGCCCAGAATCATATTGTGTTTTTTGTGATATGATAACGCTTTCCATAACGTGTGACGCGACCTTGCAAAACAGCGCTTGGATTTTACTTCTGTTAATAATTCCTTTTGAATAATGTAAACGTTACCCCAGCACGTAAAAAAAGCCGAAAACGTGATCACAGCACGTTTAAATAGATTTTAAGTCGTGATGGCTGCACGAAAATTCGTGAGATCGGGTTGATAAGAAAGACCTGCGCTCGTTTGTTTTTAGAGACGCCGTGTGATTAGGGGAGACCAGCCACTGTAAACAAACAGAGAGAGTGTTTACGGTGCGTTCTGCAGGCGCGGCAAGATCCCCGAATTCACTGCAGCGTTCCGTGTTAATGTCTGCCTCAGAGAGCCCCTCTCTAAATATACACTGTAAACACACACACGCCCCCCAGCACCATGATGTCGTCCCTCATAACAGAGGCCCCATCTGCTTTCTCAGGCCCCCGGGTTCCCTTTCAGAGACTGGGAGTAAACTGTCCCCCCGCTCCCCAGGGACCCGGTGTGGCCTGTTTAGTTGTAGTCCCGTCGGACATCAAAAACGTGAACCATGCAGACACCACAACACAGCTCAAAAATATCCCTGCCGATCGGGGCGTGTTTTTGAGTGGTGGGACTGCTTTGCACGCTCTCTGCACGTTCTCTGCACGCTCTCTGCATGCTCTCTGCATGCTTACTTTACGTTTCCTCGGTTGGTGTTGTGTGCTGGTGTGCAGGAAGGTTGTGACCATACGTGCCCAGATGTTTTAGTTTTGCTTACGCAAAATTACCTGAAATTACCCCTAAAACTCCAGATGTTTCGATGACCAAACCTGCCGATGAAACAAGCTGTAACGCAGCCAATGAGAGTGCTCCTCATTTCACGGTGATACTGAGATGGGAGGGTGGAACTGGTGGAAGGATGAGATCAGAGATTTAAGAGAAGAGTTGGCGGTCTTACAAAAACCCTGATTGCATGTCTGCGTTAACCACAGACAACATCCTGGATGACCGACCAGAGGGAAGGTCACCCGTGGAGAAGTTTCAGTATGAATCCAACGACGAGATGCCAAAGAGGACAGCCCGGAAATCGGACAGCCCAGCTGCAAGCAGAGGGAAGGTGAGACAGACTGTTCCCACGGGCCGGCCTCCTGATTCGAGCTCCATCTCCAGACAGTGAGCTCTCCCGGGATGCAGACTGAAGCTGCCCTCAGCATTGCCATATCTGCTCACATTTCTCACGCAGGTGTTCGACCTGGAGCTCGAAGAGGAGTTCAACCTGCCTCAGAACAAGAAGGAGAGCCGGCAGATTGCACAGGAGCTCTCCGACCTGGTCATCTACTGCCAGGCCATCAAGTTCCCAGGTCAGTATCCCCCGGTCGCTTCAATAGCCCTGCCTTGCTGCTTGATTCTTTATTAACGTTTCAGGCTTTTGTACGATCATGTGCCAGATGTACGGCAATGGCGTGCTCGTGTGTGGTAGCCCGCGCGCGACTTTGAACTGTAAAAAGAAACAAAAATCCAACAGTGGAATTTCCAGGGGGGGGGGAAGAAAAAGCATCACGTTCAAATGTCAGATGCCCAACCGAATTCCCAAGGAATATGGGCCGGAGTGGAAAATACGGCCGCAGGCCTGGCCCCCGCGCTCACGTCCCTTGTCTGTGTGTGGGTGCGTGTGTGTGTGTCTCTGCCTGTGTGTGGGAAACAGGCCTTTCCACCCTCACCCCATCGGGCTCTGGCAGGGGAAAAGACAGAAAGAGCAGGAAGTCGATCTTCGGCAACAACCCTGGCAAGACCAACCCGGGGGACCCCATGACCCCGCCCCGCGCCCAGGGGAAAGGTACAGTTCCCTGCCCGGGGCCCCGCTGAGCCGTGCATGCGTGTGGGGGCCACAGAACACCCACAGAGAGCGCATGGGAAAAAGCCCCCAGTGGTCCTGGCCTCTTCTCTGGGTTACAGTCGAGCTTTTGTGAACGGAGACTTCGTTTGATGGGTTACCCGTTTCTGTGGTTAAATACCAAACAGTGCACTTTGGGCGTCGCTCCCTGTGATCCTCCGCTCGCGGTTCCATAGCAAGTATGCCACCTACTGTCTGTTTATAACAGTTACACAACGCTTTTATACAAAGCATCGTACATTGTGTTGTTTTTTGGAGAAAGCTAGGTCAGACGGTCCATGGAGCAATTGAGGATTAAGGGCCTCGCTCAGGGGCCCAACAGTAAAATCACTTTGACACTGGGATTTGAACCCGCGCCCTTCTGATCACAGGCTCAGTGTCCTACCCTTGTGAGCTGCACACCACCCCCTGTCTAACAGATCCAGGCTTGATTGTCTCACCCTGACAATGGTAACGGTGTCTAAGTGAAATTTCCTCCCAGGCACTTCGTTTAGTCAGTTAAAAAGGAGCAGCTGGGAAGCTGATTTCAGGAGCGGCCGGTTTTCCAAAAAGTCCCTGACATTGCGCTGCCGGCGTTCTCGTTGTCGTCTCTGCGTGTCCCGGCCCGCTCGCACGTGTGACCCCCTGCCCTCCTCTCCGTGTTGCTGACGGTGGCCGGCACTCCCTCTCCAGCAGGCCCCCTGGAGGGCGTCCGCGCCAATGCCGACGAGCAGGCCGCCCCGGCGCCGAGCGCCAGCCCGTCACTGAGCGCCATCATCCGTACACCCAAGTGCTACCACATCTCGTCGGTGAACGAGAACGCGGCCAAGCGCTTGTGCCGGCGCTACTCGCGGAAGCTGATGGAGCACACCAGCTGCCAACTGCTGCGCACCTACCCCGCCGCCACCCGCATCGACTCCGCCAACCCCAACCCCCTTATCTTCTGGCTACACGGCATCCAGCTGGTGGCGCTCAACTACCAGACGGACGGTAAGGATGGGGCCCAATGAGGGCCGATATTAGGGAACCGCCCCTCTGCACCGGCAGAAGCTGGAGAGCGGGTGTGGGGTGATGAGTGTTGCCTAGCAACATGGGGGAGGTGGAGCCAACATGAGGGGGTACGAGTGGGCGTGGCTAACAAGGATTCTACTGTAACTCCTATTAACAATAATTGCATGAGAGGATCTGAGTATCAAGATAAACCTCTAAGTACTGATATATAATATTTACTGGTTTGGCTTACAGGGAAATAACCATTCAGCTATTGTTACTAGTAGTAATAACCAGTGATGCTTCTGGACCTGAAATGTCCAACACTGGTAATAATAGCAGTAGTGCTGTGAACAAGTACACACTGACAAGTAGAAATATAGATGTGAAACTTTGCAAGATCCTTAATATGAATTTCTCCGATAAACTATCCAGCCTATCCGAGATCAGCGATTAACGATCATCAAACATGTAAAAGTTGCTTATAGTGAAAGGATTCACAGCTTCAGGGCACATGTTATGAGTTGTCAGGCTTCACCGGAAGCTGCCTTAACATCGAGCTTCAATTTCCATTGGTCACTCCTCAGGAGCAGTGGACAAAGGAGATACTGTACTGACTTGTTTGCAATATTATTCTCTAGCACTTTTGAGATCGAGAATATGTTTCTCAACTTTTAACGTTGTTCCATGTAAAACGGGTAAATCACCGCAAATGTTCTTGGTCTCTGATGTGCCTCCCCCCGGTTTGCCCCACAGACTTGCCCATGCAGCTGAACGCCGCCATGTTTGAGGCCAACGGAGGCTGTGGCTATGTCCTGAAGCCCCCTGTGCTGTGGGACCGGAGCTGCCCCCTGTACCAGCGCTTCAGCCCCCTGGAGAGGGACATGGAGAGCATGAGTCCCACCCTCTTCTCCCTCACTGTGAGCAAGTCCCCGCACACACTCTACACCCAACACTTTACATTCCACACCCCAGCCTCATCCCCTACAATCCCCATTCTACACTCTAAACGCTACACTGTAAATCTACACTCAATAATCTACACTCTATTCTCCAGAATCTACACTCCAAAATCTACACTCCACACTGTACGACATGTATACATTTGTGCCAGGTGTTAATAAGGATAGATCTCATCAGCCTGTAATATCAGCCAGGGGGGGGGGGGGGGGTTGCGCGGAGGAGGGGAGCCGTATATTCAGTGTTCACATGGAGCCGTGTTGTAAACATAATGACCCAGTGGCAGAAGCTCTGTGGGTCACGCACATGGAGTGTGGCCAATGTCGTAAACACAGATCGCTTTGACGCCATGCAGGCTTTTGGCTTTCCTCCATCCAGCGCTTCCTGTCTTTACCTGGCAGGTCATTTCGGGGCAGAATGTGTGTCCAGGCAACACGGCGGGCAGCCCCTGCGTGGAGGTAGATGTGCTGGGGATGACAGCGGACAGCAGCCACTTCCGTACCAAGCCCATCCACCGTAACACCCACAACCCCATGTGGAGCGAGCAGTTCCTCTTCCAGGTGTACTTTGAGGACATGGCCTTCCTGCGCATTGCTGTGGTGGAGAACAACACCTCCCAGGTCACCGGCCAGAGGATCCTCCCCCTCCGGGCCCTCAAAGCAGGTGGGAGTCAGGTGTTTAGAATAGTCTTGGCTGCGCAGGATTCATTTCGGTTTAGCTGGTGTCTTTTGATGTGTGTGTGTGTGGGGGGGGGACGACATTTTTTAACTCCCCACAAGGAAAAATTCAGTTTTATAAAAGTCTGTGACTGCTATGAAAAACTAAAAATTCCAGAAGTCTAGAATTTTGTTTGGTTAAGTTATCTTTAAGGTTAGGGCTGGGTAGGGGTTAAGGCTGTCATTGTTGGGAATAGGGTTTGCCCATAGAAATGAATGGACAGTCCCCACAAAGATATGACTACGGGTCTGTGTGTGTGTGTGTGTGTGTGTGTGTGTGTGTGTGTTAACACGGCGCTGCCGTCCCCTCAGGATACAGACACGTGCAGCTGAGGAATCAGCACAACGGACCCCTGGAGGTGTCCAGCTTGTTCATATTCAGCCGGAGGGTGGAGGAGACCCCCCCCGGGGGACAGCCTGCGTCTGTGGTAAGGCGGGGACACGGGGGGGACACGGGGGGGACACGGGGGGGACACGGTGAGCCGTGCGAGGTTCGCAGTGGGAGTGACACCGGCACGCTAACGGCACCGTCACCGACTCCTCAGAGCCAGCTGGAGAAACGCTCTCCCACCATCCGTCAGGCAGCCTGCGGAACATTCGCTTTCCGGTGTTTAGTTTAACTTTTGCTTCCAGTTTATTTTAGCTGAAATTCAGCCGCCAACCCTCAGAGCCGCGCGGGAGATTTTCGTGTCGGGACGCGTCGCCGCGACGGCCCCACCCTGAGCGTTCCCCGTTTCGCCCGCAGCTGTTCAGCACGGAAGAGCGCCGTGCCGCCATCCAGCACAAGGTGACGGTGCACGGGGCCCCGGGGCCCGAACCCTTTGCCGTGGTCAACGTCAACGAGAGGACCAGCGTCAGACAGCTGCTCGACACTGTGAGTCTCGCCTTGGTCACATTCACACACAAACACCTACATAAAAACACACACACATGTAATCATATCTTTTGGAGACCGCTTATTAATTTCTATGGGAAAAATGCTAATGCTAACTATGACAACCTTAACCCCTACCCAGCCCTAACCATAACCATAAGTAAACAAACAAAATACAAGACTTTTTGCATTTTTAGTTTATTCACTGCAGTTGCGGATTTTTATAAAATAGAGTTTTCTCATATGGGGACCAGGAAACTGGTAGAAAAAACGGGTATTCATCACGTTGTACGGACATATTATACCTGGACCACACACACACACACACACACACACACACAGGTCCCCAAAAGACAACAAGGTCTCTACTAAACAACTTTTTTAATTTGATATTTACACTCACTTGGGAGTGTAGTAGATACACCTGCTTCTGAACTCAATCAGCTTGTTGCTACAAGAAGAATTATGTGGCTGTTATGCAGCACACAGGCAGGACCTGCAGGCTTTGCTCCTGAGCGGCCGAGCATCAGTGCGGTTATGATCTCTGACCGAAGCGATTTTGAATGCGGCGCGACTGCTGGTGCTGTGATGGATGTTGGCGTTAAAATCTCAGAAGCAGCCGTCCTCCTGGGATTTCCATCCCCTAGAACAGAGTTTACAGAGAATGGTGTGATGAACAAAGAACATCCAGTGGAGTGGCATTTCTTTGGCTGAAAACACCTTATTAATGAAGGAGCTGGGAGGAGAATGGGCAGACCCGTTAATGCTGACAGGAAGACCACACATGCATAAGCAACAGCTCAGTATAAGTGGTACGCTCAAAGGTTTCTCTGAATCCATATCTTGTCTGCAACAACAAAATATTTGACACTGGTTTGGGCAGATAGTAACAGCACTAATCAGTGCTATCAGCAGCAACCCTCCCATGACCACCATCAGTACAGTGGGACAGCATCGATTGCCACAGATGTGTTCCTGTACTACAGACGATATTTGACCATGCTTTAGTAGTTGTCATCTTTACTCCTTGGAATTTTGCACTTGATCTCTCATGATATGCAGGCATCTTGACTACTTTATAAGTGGTTCTGCCCTGTCCTGGCTAGATGTACCCAATCAAGTGGTTATGCCTACCTGATGATCTGTATTGCTTGTTTTGGACCTTCTGCAGGTGGTTTATCTTATGAAAACGGATCTGCTTCTTATAAATGCTCTTGTTTGAGTGTCTGGTAGGCTTTTAAGCAGTAATATACTTATGAGGTGAAATTAGATTGACACCACATGGCCGGGGATGATTACGAGGGACGGTTCGCTAATAGGTGCTGCCCTGCCCCCCCACCCTGTCAGATATTATCACCGTCAGAGGCTGCGGACTATTTCCTGTGTGAGGAAAAGATACCTCTGTCAAAGGAACGCAGCGATGCCAAGAAGCAGCCTCAACAGCGCCCCCTAGCGCCCGAAGAGGAGATCCTCAGAGTTCTAAGCAGCTGGGTCCCAGAGGAGGGCTGTGTGGGTCGTATCTGCCTGAAAACCAAAGAGGGGGTACATTCTCAGCCCTCTGTCTAACAGTGTTAGTTTATCTTCAACAAGTGGCTTTTGAATTTCAAGCACCAAGAAACCACATATGTATAGTTTGAGGTTTTTATAAGTTTGTTTTGATCCTTATTGGCTACTTATTCAGTTGACAGTATACTGAAAGGCACTGTTTACTTTTTACAGCTTCATTTGACATTTAAAGAGTGCCACCTAGTGGCCCAGCTGTGTAACAGCCACTGTTGGGTAAATTAGCCACTCTCTGTTAATAAGTGACATTTTCGTGACATTCTGGTGTTGCTCGGTTTTTGCCGGGAGTCCAGTACAGCTGTTAATAGCAGCTTTTACCTGCACAGCACCTGAACAACAGGAACTCTGCGCCGGAACGCCTGGAGGAGGCGAGTGTCCCGCCAGAGGAAGACACCTTCCTGGTCCAGGTGCACGACGTGTCGCCCGAACAGCCTCACACTGTCATCAAGGCCCCACGCCACAGCACTGCCCAGGACGTCATTCAGCAGGTGACCAGGACATTTTTGCTGCCCTCTCTGCTGTCTGTCCATTTCTGTGTAAGGGCCTGGCCTGTATTTAATGTGTTCAAACTCATCATTCTCTGTGGGACTCCCTTCAGTTATACACAGCGCCCTCTATGGGAGGCCCTTCAGTTATACACAGCGCCCTCTATGGGAGGCCCTTCGGTTATACGCAGCGCCCTCTATGGGAGGCCCTTCGGTTATACGCAGCGCCCTCTATGGGAGGCCCTTCGGTTATATACAGTGACGTCTCCCATGTCCTCCGTAGGCACTGAGTAAGGCCAAGTACTCCTGTAGCATCCTGAACAACCCCAACCCCTGTGACTACGTGCTGATGGAGGAGGTGTCCAAGGACCCCGCTAGCAGAAAGGGGTCGGCCGGCAAGCCCATCCAGCGGGTCCTCCTGGACCAGGAATGCGTCTACCAGGCACAGAGCAGGTGGAAGGGAGCTGGGAGGTTCGTGCTGAAGCTGAAGGAGCAGGTGCAGGTGAGGTGGGGTTTGGCGGCCTTCCCCTCCCCCCCCCCCAGTCACTGACGCACATTCCAGCACCACAGGAAGGATCCACAGGGGGGATCAGTTTTATGAAAACTTGACTCGTACCTACAGCACTGTGCCAAAGTCTTAGGCAGCCAAAAGAAATTATTTAAGCTATTTATCTGGGTAGTAAATGCACATTTGCTCAGAACACAAAAAAAAAAAACCCAATTTAATGTTTTAATGTTTTTAATGTTAAAATGTATGCAAATTAAGAGTGACTACTAAAAGTTTCTTCTGTTCTCCAAAAAGTTACTGATATCTAATAAGAAAAAATGACATGAAAGACATAGCAACACATCGGGCATCATGGAAATCTGCTTGACCATATGGGTGTCTGATCGCGTGTCCACTGTCTCACCACTGTGGGGTCCAAATCCACAACCTTCCGGTCCTCCCAATCATTCGGTCCCTCTTCGCAGGCATGCCGCGAGGACAGGAAGAAGGGCATCTCCCTGACCAGTGAGCTGAAGAAGCTGACCGGTCGCAGCCGTACTGTGGCAGTGGGTGTGAGCCCCGCCCCTGAGGGCGCCCACAGTAAGGATGAGAAGGTGGCATGCGGGGGTCACCCCGGTGACACATCTGAGTAATCGGCGCTGGCATGTGCATGCAGGCCGTGTGAGGTACGGTCTGCGCTCTCTAACGCCCCCTAACTCCTGACCCTGTGGTAACCTATTGTCTGTTGAGGTTTAACAGCGGCCATCATTGCGGGTTGAGTTGGCTTTGCCTGGCCAACTGCTCGCTCACAGTACGCGGATGACCCTGCCGGTAATATTCGGCAAGCGCGTGCCTTTCCGAAGTTCATAATGCTCATTTTCCAGAGTGGTTCAAATGCCACTGGTCCGCTGCTGTAGTCTGATGAATAGCACCCAGAAAACAGCCTTTCTAATACCGCTGGGCTCCTATTGACCGTCATTAATGCTGTGTTTGTGCCTGGTTTTGCTAACTGTTCTAGTTTCCATGTTACATAATTCATTAACTCTGACTCTGGGGCGTCTAGATTTGGATATGGATGGTAGGGATAGTTCAGGTCTGATCTGGTCCCTGATTTGGCTGATTTGGTTCTTATTCATTTTCATTAAAATCAGACCCCCCTAGTAAAGGCTGACCCCACCCCCCTTTCATAAATCACTAGTGATGCCCGTGTTCTGCCCGAGTGTGAGACTTGTTTCTGTGCGTAAAGGACAGAGAATTGCTTTGTACAGCCCTCAGGGTAACGCTAATGTCTTTTTTTGGCACATTTGGTTTAGTCACTGTTTATTCACCGTATTTACCTTAAAGGATGTGCATCCGCTTGTGGAATAAAAAAGGTAGATAAAACTAATACTGTATTTCAAGGGAAGCTGAAGTGCATGATTATGGGGGTGTACATAGGCAACAGGTGTGTAAAGTGTGTTGAGTCCTCGCTGATTAAACTCATTTGCTTGCTGTCTGCAGGAAGACTCTCTGAAGGGCTGAAGGCCTGTGTGGCAGGGAGCAGGTCAGGGGTAGAAAGACTTCTGGGAAGACAGCCCAGCCAATGCATGCTCTCCCCAGCAAGCCACGCCCCCTCCACCTGGCCCTTCCCACTGCTGTGGAACTGGAAACTGCCCATATGAACGCTGCTCCTGGGGAAATGCAAAAGTCAGAGCGAGACCCATCAAAGGTGTCGGACGACGCCAGCCTGCACCCGATTTCTGCCCTGGGGCGTCTTTATTGGGGTTCAACTAACACCCGTGTCCCCAGACAGCCATGTTATTGGGGCGGATAAACCCGGTCATCAGCGCCGGATCATGTGGGGAAGGAGATCGGGTACCTGGGAGCCCTTCAAACCCAGAGTAGCACCAGCGGTTGCAGAGAGCGTAACCCGGGGTAGCCACAACTCCTGCCTCCTCATCCGACTGGGATGACCAGAAGGTGGCTGGTTTGAATCTCATTCTGTGCCTGTGACCACAGTACTGTAGCAGATCCGTGCTTTCGGCTTTCCTTTCTTGCATTGACGCTACTTTGCACTTGTTCATTTGGATTCCTTAAAATTGCCTATTACTATACCAAAGGAACATTTATTAATTTGCTAATTACACGTTTATGGTATATTGTTTTCCCTTGGGGTAAAAGTTTACAGCTGAAATGGTTGTAAACAATGTATTAGAGAGGTTTCTCTTCTGTGACCTCATGGTACTTTAAACATTTAACTTTAAATGCAGCTATTTAATTCTTAGCTATTGCTACTAATTTTTTAAAGATTTTTTTTTTTTTTTTAACTGTACATGTTCCCCACAGACACTGGGAGAACTCTGTAGGGGTCATAGTAGTATATTTGGTTTTACAAAGCATTTGTTGCCTGAAATTCTTTTTACATGAAATCATGTAAATGTAACATTCTCTATTAATTTTCTAGAGCACATTTGAGTTGTTTTAGTGGATTGGGCTTTCTTAAAAAGGAAGCCGGGTGAATTAATTTTAAAGTGAATCTCCCACCGTTGACGGGATGGTTCGACATTTCATGTAATTTTGTTGTTTTTTTTTTAGCTGTGCAATGTGGAGAATCGACGTTTCCTATCATTCTTTTTTGTATGCCTGATTTCACAGAACCTTTGAGATTTTGTGACATTCACTGTCTACAGTTGTACTTCTCAGTGTAATATTCCTGTATGTTACTGTGGATCATAGTCCAGAAATAGGCAAATGTGTACGACTGACTCTTCTAGTCCAGCAGATGCCGCTGTCCTGCACTTTCATTTTCCCTTATTATTTTATTATTTTTTTTAAGTGATAACCTTCAGTATGCACAAGTTGTTCTGATGTCAATCTTGGCACATGTTTGTTTTGATGTATCTGATGGTGCTTTTCTTGGATTGGGGAACATTTGGAACCACTGTAACATTAATTAGGTGGATGTTGTACCAAGATGACGTTTGTGGCAGTTACATACAAGTATCAAGGTCAACATGGTGTTTTCCTTTTTTTTTTTCCTGTAACATGAGTCCATTGTGACTTTTAGTACCTTTTGTGAACATTTGCTGTTTTTGTCTCTGCGGTACAGATTTCTGGCGGAGTACATTTTTTTCCAGCCTTATTTTGTAAATAGTTTGTGATTTAATGATCCAAAAACATCTTGACCTCAGATGTTTAGCTGTTTTTAATTAGCTTTAAGCTGAAACTCATAGAATACCCCCCCCCCCAATGTTGTACATTTTAATTTATTTTACAATTTAGCCCTGGGGGTTGTACTTTTATATAAAATGTATACATGACGCTTTTTGAAGGTGTATCTTAAGAGCTATTTTAAAATGAGTGTATTTATTTTGAAGAGGAAGCCTCTTAAATTGTGTTGGTTATCCACTAACATTTATATACATTTACTAGATCTGTTTTTGTCAGAGATGATCTTGGACCATGGTGATATTTTTGGTAAATGTTCCACGTCACCATTTTGTGTTTTTCTTCCCAGTTCTCGACTTCCTTTGCTTATTTTGTAAGCCGTCATTATTAACGGTTTGGTTTTGCTGCCTTTCTATAAAGGACATGCCACGCATTTCAAATACATAATAATGTATATTCAATATTTATTTAGCTGTGTACAGTATTAAAATACTTTATAAGTAGCCCAATAGCATACCCCAGTGAGCTGCTGGCTTTTAAACGACAGATTAATGTACAGTATTAACATTATGCGGTGTACAGATCATGTAACTAATATGAGACTACTTTCGGTTGACTTGAAACAGTTGGAACACCTTGTATGTTGTTATGGAAATAAATGATTGTTTTACTCAATGATTGCATTAAATACCTAGAATACCCAGCACGTCACATGACCAGGAAGTGGAGCGTGTAATTATGGTCACAAAGTGGCCGTAGTTTTCCAACCCAGAGTTGAGATAAATACTTTATATTAGACCCACGCTTCTAGAAGCGCTAAAATCGGCACCTTGACCCCAGTGTGCTGTACCGATATCACAGTCGTAGACCACACTCAGCACTAAGAGTGATCCAGTTTTACCGATATTCGACTACACACAGACCACAAATCCAGGATAGTCTGCTCATGAATGAAGAGGAGGTATGGAGCTCCGTGGGTTAGCATTCTGTGATCGGAAGGTCGGCAGTTCAAATCCCAGAATCAGCAGAGTGATCACGCCCATGGGCCCTTCAGCAAGCGCCTTAATCCCCAATATTCCATAGACCGGTGCCGTGTTCCCACCATCACAGAGCCAGAGCCAGTGCCAGTGCTGGGCTGGTTCTCACTTGGTGTCTTTTGAGAATCTGGCTGCATTTCCACCAGTTTAAAAAAATAACAGAACGGAAATGTTACATAGGTGGAAGCAGAAGTAAAGTAAATGTTCATATGTATTTAGTTTTTTCGATTTATTCTGGTCTGTTTCGGAGTGTTTTTCTAAGCTGCTGAACCGAAAAAAAGTTTTCAGAGTATGACTCGTGCTCTGCCTCTATTGCCTGTATCCGCTTTTGTCTCCTTAAAGGCCGTTTCTCTCCAATCTGTATGTAACTTTATTCTTTCTCACTCACTGTTTTTTGCACAATAAAAGAGTCTGAACTGAACCTTACTGTCCGCCTCTTGATCCATTTGCCACTCAAGCGCCACAATATTTTATTCGACCTGCGACATGGTTATAATTTATTAAATCTGACGAGCAACACAATATTTTGTTTTTCACAGAATGGAATAAAAGTGATGTAACGTTATTCTGCTAATAAGCTGGCAAAACGTTTCACTGCCAGTACCAGTGATATCAGACAAAACTATATTGGTTATGGATCGAATTTTCTGGGTGTCCGGAAGGGGAGGATGTGACACCCTGTCCCCCTTTCGCTGACATTACGGTGCTAAATTCTGAGACCAGCTTTTCTATGGTGCCATGCTGGAGCACTTTTTTTCTGGCCCAGGGCCAACGTTTTGCAGTGGAAACGCACGGATCCAATTCCAGATTGAGAAGTCGTCCGGCACCACGTTGGTGTGAATCGAGGCAAGTCTGACGCTGCTTCTTGACTGCATGTCAATTTGGATAAAAGAGCTTGCTACATAGATTTTAAATTTTACTGAAGTACTCAGGTTCCTACAACTATAGCAGAACCAGGAGGTTCCTGCCGATTAATTCAGTTCTCAGTACAGTTCTCAGACCTGTTCCTGGTGCCTCCCCTGCCAGAATGTTTTCATTCCAATCCTACCTTAAATCAGGCTTATATGGTCCCTAATAGGCTAATAATGTCTGGCAGGTTTAAAGCAGTCCGGGTTGGAATGAAAACATTCTGGCAGGGGGTCCTCCAGGAACAGGACTGAGAACCACTGACTCCAATCATTCACCCTGATGAGGTTTTGTGTGTGGACGTGATAACTGTCACTCCAGGATGGGTTCAGAAGCCACCTGGACTGTTTTTGGAAATGATCATTTACACTTTGAAAAAGGCACTTAAAACATATTTAGAATAAAAATGTTCATCTTCAGAAACACATGATATATACATACAGTTGACCCTGTCCAGTTGGTACCAGCTGACACAGCCTTGAAGTCCATGCTGTACAGATGCTGTGAAACACATCCTCCTAGCATGAAGCATTCCCAAAATGTGTGGCGAAGTCCAAGGCCGACGAAGCCGTCGTATCCGCTAGAGCGTCGTCCACCTGTCTCTTTAACTGAGCGTCCAGAAACACGTCAACGGCGTCAAAGTGCTCCTGAAACACCAAAGCATGATGGGAAATCATTTCGACGGGAAACGAGAGCGACACACAGGGTATCCTTCACAGAACTCCGAAGAGGGCGATACCTTCTTCTTAGAGGAACTTGTGGGCACTGGGGGGTTAAAGGTCATGTCCTTGGGGCTGTACTCCTCAAACAGATCCACTGCCGACCTGCGGAATTTCAAACATCCATTTAAAAGCGTTAAAAAAATTCTGCACAGACAGTCAAACACACATTTGTAGAGTGGGAGGGAGAATTAAACAGAGCTTGCATGTGTGTCACAGAGCTGAACACACTGTACATGTAGAAGGCTCACTGCAGCCCGTCACTGGACAGTACCGTCACTGGACAGTACCGTCACTGGACAGTACCATCACATCGAAAGCTCTCACCTCCTGCTCAACTCGGAGCTCAGGGCCCGGGAGCCTTCGCTGGGTGCCCCCACCACGAGGTGAGTGGCAAATTTCCTCACCATGGGGTGGTAGTGCCTCTGCAACACAAAGGCCTCACATCACATTACATGCTTTCTGTCCAGGGTTAGACACACAGAAGGCTGATCCAGACATGGGAAGGCAGGACGGACACTGTCTCGTTCACGGCAGATGTATACGTTTGTCTCACAGTGTACAGTGTTGATAACACTTCCTGAGTGTCCCTGCGTGTCCTGTACGTGTCTGCTGACTGCAGTATATTGTGCCGTCCTCCGGGGGGCGCCCCGCTCACCGTCAGCATGTGCAGCTCCCACAGCGCCGTGTTGTGAGGGTTACAGAACTCGGGCTCCTGCAGCTCGGGCAAGTAGACGCCGCTGCCCTGGGACTCATTGTCTAGCAGGAGGTCACACTTGGGAAAGGCCTGGGGGAGAAGGACGGAAACACACACACACACATTACAGCTGCTTGTGGGACAGACCCCTCCCCTCCCCCGATACTCTAAGGTATTTGTAACCTAGCAGCAGGCAGACAAAGGTTACAGGAGGTTAGCAAATGCCCACATATTACCTCAGCAGGGCCTCAAAGACAGCACCACCTGCTGGTGGGAGGTCACTGGTTTAGGTACCAATGGTTCCATTAGAGATAGGCAGACAGTAGTGGTACGTGATACTGTAAAATTTGGTATCGATACCATACCACGTAAATACAAGGCCAGTATGGCTGATACCAATAACAATACCAATACTTTTTACTTATAAAAGCAGCTTATGTACTTTCGCGTAGGGGAGAACGGTGTGTCATGGTTTTTTAGGTGAATGCATCTTCAATCTATAAGGTATACCCAACGTCATACAGGCAGGACTGTAGCCAGCTATGAGGTCACCGAGGTCTGGACCCCTAATTTTTCAAGAGCTAAAAATAAAATAAAAAATTTTAAGCTAAATTGTCAGCTGAATAAAAAATTAGGCTACCTAATGTTTCACAAAAGAATTGAGTAAAAAAAAAAAAAAAACAGCTTATGAAGGGAATAGTATCAGTAATGTGATTGACGAGATCCACCCCCCCCCCCCCCCCCCCCCCCCCCCCCCCC